TATATGTAAACGTACCTTATCTTGCCATTTTTTATTAGCAATACATTCTTGAAAACTCATACGAGTAAAATGTACCGTACTATAAAGTGGTATCCAAGTATTCGGAATTAATTTATGTAAAATATTATCGAGACGTCGACGGAAAGCGAAAGACTTTTTTGTTACTAAATGCCTCATCTACAATTATATGTAATAAGTGTATACCTTTTTTATAGGTAAGATTATTAAAATCATTTACCTCTATATAATTATACATTGCTAAGTCACATATTGCCTCTGCATCGTTACATCGAAGTTCCGAAAAATTTGAAAGGACTTCATTTAAATTCGAATTGTATTTTTCCATTAGATTATCCAGTAATAGAATATCCTCGAATCCCTGTTAAATTAAAATTATGATGATAAAGGAGCATAAAGTAATTATAATATAATGGTCAATTATAAATTCGTATAATAATATGAATAATGTTGTAATTTGTAATATTGTTTATCTAAATAATTTATTATAACAATTTACTATTATTATTATTATCAATAATTTATTATAATAATTTACTATTAATAATAATGATATTAATAGGTATGTTAATAACAATAATAATATTATACTATTAATAGCATTATTAATATAACATAATTCTATTTTATATTCAGTATTGTTCATTGAAAATTCAATACTATATTATTGTTGTTATACTAATGTGTTAATTAATTCGTTATATATATATATATAAATATATAATATTAAATATTATATAAAATATTAAAGATACCAACATTAATTCTAGACAAACGCTATATTATTATTGTTATTTTAGTATCGTTTAATTAATTACTTGTAATTTTTTTTTTTTTTTTTTTAATATAAAAATATTGAAAATCCCCAAAACATTATTACTATTAGTAAAAACAATAATAATACCATACGCTTACAGCGTTCATTCCTTGAGCATAAAATGGTACCATAGCATGAGCGGCATCTCCAACCAAAATAGCCGCTTTACCCATGTGAAATGGTTTACACTGTGAATATTAATATATTAACGTATCAATATGAATTTATAATAAATAATATAAATAAGAAAAATATTCTACATATGTATGCTCATGTATGTATATACGTATAAAAATACCTTAATCGATATTAAAGTTTTCGGATTTCTTTCGAAATAATTTTTTATTAATTTTTCCTCGCCGATCAATTCTAAAAAATCTGGAAATTGTTCCGTATAAAATGTTATCAAACTTTCCGACGTTTTCAATTTGTTTAAAGTTTTAAAAGGTGCGAAGAGATTAGCGGTAAAACTGTGATCCTCGTTTGGCAATGCTATCATCATAAAGTCATCTCTTGGCCAAATATGAAGATGATTTTTGCTCATTGAAAACTTATTAACAATAATAACAATTTATTATTATTACATTTTAATTTAACAAAAGTAACGATAACAATAATAATAATAATCATTAGTATTATTATATATAATAATCATAACATGTTGATCGACATTATATTACATTTCAATAAATATTCGATCGGAAAGAAAATTGATTAATATATAATATTTAATAATAATTTATATCATCACCTCATTATTTTTTCCAGGTGGAATAAATAATTCGATGTATCCATGTTCTATGTATGTCTGACTGCAATTAAAAAGTGGCCTTTTCATAAAGATCTTACGTATCGTAGAATAAGCTCCATCTGCTCCGATTATTAAATCAACATTTACTTCTTCCGTCGTATGATTTTTCATACTACAATATATATGTATATACATATATATATATATATATATATATATAAATAATATAATAACATTGATTGAATATACGATTATACATATACGTACTTCAAAATTGTTAATTTTCCTTGATCGATATCAGCATCAACGATTTTTGAATTAAAGTAAAGTTTTACTTCCGGATACTTTTCTGCAGCTAGATTAAAAAAACAAAAAAAAAAAAAAGAAAAAGAAACAGAAAAAAACAAAAAAAAAATACAGATTATACATTATACATAAGTATCTAAAATATTTCATTTATTTTTAAAACCAATGATATACATATATATATATATATATATATATATATATATATATATATATATACATATATATGCAATGTAAGAAGACTACGTTTCATGGATGAAAGTAACTTGATACGTTTGAATTCTTGTGGCTTCTCGCGCTACCAGGCTATCGAATGTTCGAGACAATTTTTTAATCTTAAACATCTCAGGTTCGCCGTGTTGTTTCACATAAAAAGTTCATGCAAAAAAAAATACACTTGTATAGCCATTACATATATATATATATATATATATATATATATATATATATATTCTTCATATTTTAAAAATATTTATATATATATTTATATATCAATAATAATAATAATATATATACACTACAGTAATACTTTATCATTATATTAATTTATTTTTTAAATACTATATTAATAATAATAATAATAATAATAATAATAATTATAATATGTTAATATTAATGAGTACTTTTTAAAAATAGGAAAAAGATGAAAACTGAAAATAGAAAAAGAAAAGAAATAATAGTAACTCACCGTTGAGTAAAACTTCATTGAGATATTGTCTGTTTACAGAATAAATGCACTGAAAAAAAAAAAAAAGGAAAGGACGATCAGTATAAATATTTAAAGAACACAATGTCTGGAAAACGATTCGTAGGAGTGGTAGGTTAAATCAAGTATACGGATATCGAAGATTGAAGAAAAAAAGAAAAAAAAAAGAAGAAGAAGGAGAAGAAAGAAAGAAAAAGAAAAAGAAATAGAACAACAAAAAAGATGCTTACATTTCCCTTGACACTGTCATAAATCATTTCTTTCAATTGGCCATTTTTACCATGTAACATTCTACCTATCATAGCTATACCGTGTTGTTTAACAAGAGCATCCTCAAGACCTATAGCTCTTAAAGCTTCTCGTCCACGTGTTGATAAAGCTAAATCTATACTCTGACCCATTAATTTCTCTTTCCGTACATCTGTAAGATACATATATGTATGTATATATATATATATATAAATGTATATATAAATTTACTAGAATTATTTGATTACTTGCTAAAAATTGCTATGTAAAAGTTTTTGTTTTTATTGAATCGGCCAATAAGTAATATTAGTAAAAAAAAAAAATATATATATATATATATATTTATACATACTAGTTATTATAATACTAATAGGACATTAATTTAATAATATGAAATAATAAAGAAAAGAAGAAATAAAATAAGCGAAGAAACGAAAAAATTAAATTATTATAATACTGTAGTAATTATTAAATATATTATTAATAGTATCAGTTAAATTATATTATTATTTTTATTATTATTATTATTATTATTATTATTATTATTATTATTATTATTATTATTATTATTATTATTGAGACATTGCAAACCGATTAAATATCAATATCATTGAAAGCTTGAATTCCGAAACTCACTTATTTGCCTTTGAAAAATCTATAGTTAAAGAAAATAGATCGAACGATGATAAATGCAATACACACGTCGACGTGTAAGATATGCATCCATATAGATAAAAAAAAATCCTGCAATATCGTGAGATATTGCAGGGATATAAGCGATAGACTTTGAAAATCTTGCATTATCATGATACCGGCTTACAATGTGTTAACGAGTTACCAAGACTATTCAATGACATAATAAAATAACTGGCATTTTTTTTTTCATTCTTTCTTCTTCTTCTTTTCTTTAATTAGATATTAAATACTAAAAACGTTGAGCCAAGTAAATATTTGAATTTGTTTTATTTTACTTTTTTATTACCTGAACGATATTCGTAAACAGAAACGGAGTGTCCTCGTTTGGCAAAGTAACAAGCAGCTAAAGATCCTACCTGATAATATTATTGTTAAAAGATTATTCATAATAATAGCAATAATAATAATAATAACAATAATAATAAAAAAAAGAAAAAAAAAAAGAAACATAGAAATGAAACGTCTGATCACTTTGTTCCAACGAAATTACGTTAAATGTGTAAAAATATTCTTTTTCTTTTTTCTTTTCAGATCTGATTTTATATTAATATTATATACGTACCAATCCACCACCGACTATACCGACGTGTAACTCATGCTTACTGTCCGCCATGGTATCCTCTAGTTCACTGAAACCCTTCTGTTTCACTGCACTTGCTTTAACTATACTCTTAAACCTTACATGTATACTACATGACAACTCCCTCCATCACTTTCTAAGTAGATCACTGGTTGAACTGTTGATGCTTTACTACAGTCAAAAAAAAAAAAAACAAAAAAGAATATATATATATATATATATGTATCGTCCGATTATATTTATCATCTTAATTATAAAAAACAATATAAGATAAGATTCTTATTTCTTTTCTTTTTTCTTTTTTAATAATAAATTTTATTTATCATTTATACGTATGCGTTACTTCGTACGCTTTATTTCAAATACAATCATTTTCAATGGAAAATCTTATTAAATCATTTGTAATATAATAAATGTCGATAAATTATTTTCTGAACGAGTGAGAGAGAGAGAGAGAGAGAGAGAGAGAGAACACAAAAATTCGATCTTTAAATCGTCCCCGCCCACCACTCGCTCCGCCCCGCCTGGTTTAAGTGATAAAAAGAAGAATTCGTGATAACATTGAAGAAAATCCTTTTAAATACAACAAATTGAATAATTCTATCAGTCATAGATGTATCTCAAAATATATGAATAGTTAAATAAATATATATGTATATATATTTATATTGTATACAGGGTGTTCCTGTCTATATTGATTAGACATCTTAAAATATCTTGCTTATTTTTTTACGTTAAAAAAAAAAGAAAAAAAAAAAGAAGATAAAGGAAAGAAAAAATCCTGTCAAAAGGAAAAACATTATTCTGCTTTCTGAGATAGCAAATATTTTGATAGGCAAGAGAATTTTCTCAAAGTCATGCTTTTTCGAGATCTCAAGGTTATCACCGTTAAGATCATCTCAAATGTGTTTTACACACTTTAAAAAATTTACACTCGTCTTTGCTTCGTTTGTGAATAATAATCATAATAATCATTTATCATTATTATTATTATCATTATTATTATTATTATTATTATTATTATTATTATTATTATTATTATGTTGATTTTGATTAGAATAATCATCTCGTATATTTTCCTTTCGAAGGAGATACGAAATTAATATTGATTGAATGAAAGTATGAAAAAAAAAAGAAAAAAGAAAAAAGAAAAAAAAAAGAAGAAGAAAAAAAGAAACGTGAATGATCTTTTCGAAAATAGAAATGTAATCATTGAAGCGAATACATGTTTCTTCTATCAGACATTTACTCTTCGATTATCTACAAATCTACGTTACATTTAGTGTACCGCGAAAAGGCACATATGTAGGTATGTGTGAATATTCGTGACCTTGGTTTATTTACGGGAAGACATGCGAGATGTAGATGTACGTATGTATCTATGTATCTATGTTGTGTAGCAGAAATGGAGACGTAGAATAATATCGGCGCCAATCGAGATATAAGATTAACATCTACTTTAAACACGATCTTTCCTATCTCTTCTTCTTCTTTATTTCTTTTTTTCTTTTTTTGGTTAATTTCTTTTTTTCTTTCTTTTGGTTAATTTCTTTATTTCCTTTTTTTCTTTTCTTTTCTTTTTCTCCTTCATCGAAATTAAATAATAATCTTTATAGTTCCATGATTACTCAGTTAGGTTCTCTCAAGTGTTAAAAAGCTCATGCCTTCTTCTTTTCCTTCCAACATTTTTTTCTTATTTATTTATTTTTTTTTTCTTTCTTTCTTTCTTTTCTTTTTTTTTCTTCCATCGCTCCCAGCCCCCTCCCGCTACCTCCCGTCCCCTCCCTCCTCGCCCACCCATCCAACAACGATTTGTATACACGTATCTATGTAACTAAATTCACGTACGTATGTATTTTTAGGACCATTGAAGAAGAAGAAGAAGAAGAAGAAGAAGAAGAAGAAGAAGAAGAAGAAGAAGAAGATACGCTTGAAGGGCATACGGAGTCAACTCCATTAATATTATCTTTTGTGTTTTCATTCTACTTCTTTCCTTTTTTCTTTTTTTCCGATTTAAAAAAGAAAACTTTTATGAAGAAAAACTATCGTCAATTTACAATACTCTTGCGAACAGCCATTTTTTTTTTTATTTTATTTTATTTTTTCTTTTTTTTTTCCATTATTTCGTCGATAATACGAATTACTTATACGTACGTACGTACGTTACGTCGATCAGTATTTTTTCTTTCTATTTTTTTTCTTTCTTCCTTTTTTTTACTTTTTTTTTGTTTAACATTTACATTAATCAATCAATACAACTTAATAATACATGTCAGCGTTTCATTCATTTTTATAATATTACACATATGTAATTTATATATATATATATATATATATATATATATATATATATATATATATATATATGTAAATTGTTGATGGTATCTTAAATTATTTTATAAATAAACGCAAAAATATCATCATCAGCATCGTCATCATCATCATTATTATTATTATTATTATTATTATTATTATTATTATTATTATTATTATTATTATTATTATTATTATTATTATCTTTATTATAATAATGAAATTTTTTTTTTTATTGTATTCGTAATTAACAAAATAATAGAGTATGTTAGAACAATAGGAATGAATTAATTAAAAATCTAAATTTAATATTAGAATTAATATTGTTAATTCATTAAACTAATAATATAAAGCTAGCTTTTTCTTTATACATCCCTCTACCTTTCTCTCTCTCTCTCTCTCTCTCTCTCATTGTCATTAATAATCAATATAAATTTATCTAAAGTTTTGAATTTATAACAATAAGAACTTGATTCTTTCGAAAAGGATAAAGAGAATAATGTTTCTTCTTCATACAGAAATAAATTCGTACGGGAGAAGAAATAACAAACGAAATTTAGTTTACGATAATGTTCGATTTATCTAAACTATAATAATTGGCACGATTTTCGACAAGTCCAGGAAAAAAGAATCAGAAAGAGAGAGAGAGAGAGAGAGAGAGAGAGAGAGAGAGAGAGAGAGAGAGAGAGAGAGAGAGAGAGAGAGAGAGAGAGAGAGAGAGAGAGAGAGAGAGAGAGAGGGATAGAGAGGAGTGGAGAATTCCAGAGGGATTTATCCTATATATACACGCACATATATGTGTGTACATATGTATATATAATAGCTTAAGGCACGTATACACTATGCACGTATTACACAAGCTTTTGGATTTAGATCTCCTAAATTATCTAATCACTAATACGTAAAACACGATTTTTCTGATGATTATAATTGTTTGATCAATTAAATAATCATTTTAACACGATACAACAATTATAATTTGCGTTGATAAATATAATTAACTTTATTCAATATAATATAACTTTTACATTTTTATTGTTGTTATTATTATTCTTATTATTATTATTATTTTTTTGTTTTCCCTTTAACAATGACATTTTATAGCTTCCCACCATTTCTATTAATTATTTTAACGTCGTTTAATAATTAATTTCGTTTAATATCTCCTCTTCGTATCGTTCGTTTTGTGTAAAAAGAATTTAATATAAAAAAAAAAAAAAAAGAAAAAAAAAGAATTACGTTAAAGAAAAAAAAAATAGAATCTTTTGTCGTAAAACAAGAGATCAATATAATCTTATCGATCGTTATAGATCTAAATGTTTAATAACGAATAAAAAGAAATTATTCGTTTTATACGTTTACTACTTATACATTTGGCACATTGTATAGATTTAATTTTTAGCAATATCTAATTGTTACAACGTTTTTTTGAGAATTTTAAATCAAAAGTGATAACACATTTGCACATTGTTCAAGACGTACACTTCAAAATGTTTTTCATCCAAGATCGATTGTCAAATGATGGACGGTACGATCTATAATGACACAACGGTAGTATATAATAAAAAAAGAAATAAGAAAAAAAAAAAAAAGAAAAAAGAAAAGAAAGAAAAGAATAATCCATCGTTCGAAACGTTAATTACATCGTCGAATTACATCGTCGAATTACATCGTCGAATAAAAATTTTTAAGTGAATCTTGAGCTATTAAATATATCTATATTTGTATATAATTATATATAATCATAGGTGTATATAATTAATATATAATTGTATTCGAAACAAATACGTGGATGAATTATTTATCTTGAAATAGATCTTCGATCGACCGATTTAAATTTTTTGATATATATATATATATATATATATATATATATATATATATATATATATAATCATATATGGATGTATTACCAAGATAAAAAAAGGCACAGCCAATTTGTAAAATAACTTTTTACTTTTGTCTTTTTGGTTTTTTTTTCTTTTTCTCCTTTTCAAAAAATAAAATCGATCAAAAGTCCATTTCGTAACACTTATTAAAATTATCCTAATGGTCTTTGCTTTTTTCTTTTTTTTTCAAACAGGATCGAATAATAGTAATAATAATAATAATAATAATAATAATAATAATAATAATAATAATAATAATAATAATAATAATAATAATAATAATAATAATAATAATAAATATTAATACGATTAATTTTCGAAAAGAAAATCATTTTATATACGTTTCTCTCTCTCTCTCTATCTCTTGCTATGTAAGATAAATTATATTACAAAATATATAAGGATATTCGTGAAAATTATCGTATATAATATTATCATTTAATTAAATTGAAATAATTAATTTTACAAAGGTAAGAATCATAATTATTAAATGTAGGTATCATAATTACTAAACTAAAGAATTTTTAGAATTTTTAATATTATCAATTAAATTCCCTGTACATTGGATAATTTTCTTTTTATAAATTTCTCCCATACATTTTGAAATCATAAAATTTCTTTTTTTCTTTTTTCTTTTATGCGTTGCTGACTATTTTATATATATATATATATATATATATATATATATATATATATATATATATATTGAACACTATTAAAAACAGGTAGAAAAAGATTTCATATCAAATGTAATTGGCTAATTGATTCCATTACAAATCTTTTCAATGTAATCTTTGAATTGTATTATATCGTTTTTATTCAATCGAGTCTCAATTAATCGTCACGAATATTCATACAAATTTACGAGTAGAGAAAAAAGAAAAGGTAACAAATGAAAGAAAAAAAGACAAAAAAAAAAAAAAATTAAAAAAAAGAAGAAAAATAATAATAATAAAAATTAAAAAAGAAGAAAAAAATTTAACAATAAGAATACATATCATTAGCTATTTAATCTTTATTCGCTTCGAATTCTTTTCTTATCTAGATATACTGTATATTAACACTACAATTGTTCTCTGCGAACATTTTATAAGCCAGTGCAAATGATTGCTTATCTTGGTCATATACGAAAAGCTTACTCGGCGTTCAGGATCAAATAGTTCATTGTAATATACATATATATAAATACATACATACATATATATATATATATATGTACGTATGTATGTATGTATGTATGTATGTATATGCTATATAAGTATATAGGATTTACTATATTAAGGCCTGCCAGAAAAATTGGATTTAATTTTCGCTTTATATGACTCTTTTTTACAAATAATCTTAATATATTATTTAACAATTTTCTTTTTTTTATTGTTGCAATCATTATTATTATCATTATTATTATCATTATTATTATTATTATTATTATTATTATTATTATTATTATTATTATTATTATTATTATTATTTGAATTACGTGTAACGCATTGCGAGCAAGCTCTCTTTCAAATGATTTTATTTATTGCTTTATTTATTTATTTATTTATTTATTTATTTATCTCGACATTTTGTTCATCTTCATTTAATATTCCATAGGTCTTTCTTTTGGCAAATATGTTTATGGTCCAGGTAGTCACGATTTAGGCTCATCTTATGCGATCTATTGCATTTTTCTTCATCTTTTTATTCATCTGCTTCTTCTTTAAAAGAAATAATCATACGCAATAATTGAAATCATAAGGCTTATTAATTAATTATTTATTTACTCGCACAATCTCATTTAAATTTTATTCTCCATTTGGTTTTTCTGTTCTTTTCTTTCTTTCTTTTTTTTTTTCTTTTTTGCTTAATCTTTCAGAAAATATTCATACTATGCAGTGGCAGATGATTATATTCTGTATATATATATATTTTTTTTTTCTTCATACATATATATATATATATATATATATATATATATATATATATATGTATCAACCAATTAGAGATCATGAAAGTGATATAAAGTCATTTCGAGAATATTTATTAAACGACATATTGTTTGTCAGACATTATTTTCCTTGTTTATTTTTATTTTAATTTTATAATTTTATAATTACAAGTTTTAAGAGAATTATATGATCAAAGAATAAATATACATAATTACTTTTTTCTCTTTCTCTCTCTCTCTCTCTCTCTCTCTTTTCTTCTCCTTTTTTCCGTTTGCATTTATGGAGAATAAATTTTAAGTAAAATTTTATGATAAAGCGAAAGAAATTATTCTTCACGGATAAATAAATATACGCGTATAAATAAATTTACTTTTTTTGCTGGTCGTATCATTAGAGAAAAATAATTTTTTAAACAATGTAAAAATAAAAATATATATATATATATGACTTAAATCACTTTCATAATCACTCATTCATATATTTTATATATATATACATACATACATATATATATATATATATATATATATATATATATATAACAGATTTTATAACGGGAGTTTTCAATAACTCGAGATGGTATTATACGACTACACACATTGCAGACGATATATATATATAATATATAATATATAATATATAATATATAATATATAATATATATATTAATATTATTATTAATATAACAATGACACTCTTTTAATAATTCAACTTGGTCTATTCTCTTTCATTCGTGTCCTATTATATATAATTATACAAATAAGTGACGTTTAATTCGACACTTTCAACAAATTACAACATTCTTTTTCAGAAAAACCCATGACAAATTTTATTTGTTTTAATCTACTTACACATACACACACACACACACACATCTTACGTATCATTTTATTATTTCCTCAATTTATCTTTTCCTCTCTCTCCCTCTCTCTCTCTCTTTCCATCTATTCTTTTCCTAACAGCTTACAAAATATAATAATTTTATATAATTTCTCATTAACGTGCTATAGATTTAATATATATAAAATCAAAAGAGGTATACTCGTTAAACGAAGGAACGAATTCTAAATTTTACAAATTTCCTTTCGAGATTATTATTGTTTATTATTCTAATACGCTGGCCTTGTATATTAACATTAATTTATTTCTAATCCAATGAATGAAATATTTTGAATTTATTCATTGAACACAATGTCTATTGACAATTGATCGTAAATATCTTACTGAAATTTATTCATTAAACAAAATATCAATAATAATAATAATAGTAATAATAATAATAATACTAATAATAATAATAATAATAATAATAATAATAATAATAATAATAATAATAATAATAATAATAAAATATCAATATAAATATGTAATCAGAAAATAAACTAAAACAATGAGAATGTTTTCCTTTTCGTTTATTTTTATTTATTAAAAAAAAAAAAAAAAAAAAAAAAAATAAATAAATAAATAAATAAAATAAAAAAAATAAACGGAAGAACAACGATAGAAAAATAATCGAGATAATTTTTATATGAAAATTTTAACACTGTCATTCTTACTAATCCATTCTCATTTTCTCACGATGATTAACGATTACGATAACGAGAATATTAATTATTATTGGTGTTTTGGCAGCCGATATATTTCGTTTTAGGCGAATGAGAAATTCTTTCGAATTTTTGTGATCAAAAAATACACGCACACGCACACGCACACGCACACGTAAATGTACGTACGCACATATACACACACACACACACACACATGCATAGCGTAAGTTGCAAATTGATCCTACAACTGTCGGACAATTTATTGCATATATATTTCCGTAGAAGAAAATAAAAAAAAAAAGAGAAAAAAATTCTACACACGAACTATTCAATCTCATTTGAATTTCTAATAATCTAAGGTGACATCACATTGCAAAAGAAGAAAAAGAAGAAGAAGAAGAAGAAGGAAAAGAAGGATAAAAAAAAAAAGATAAATATGTGTATTACGTGCATTACATACGGATTTCAAATTAGCAAAAAATGTATTTAAATCGCGCTGATTTAATCCGACGTGTTAAAAAATAATTTTTAATCGTACAAGTTTTTTCTTCTTTTTTTTTTTTTCTTTCTTGCGGCGAGCATGAGTGGGGGTGAGTTCTCCTTCTTTTTTGCTTGTTTTTTCTTTTTTTTTTCTTTTTGTTTCTTTTTTCTTTTGCATTTGTGCACCAATGGCAGTTGCAGGGTCAAGTTAGGATTTTTAAATCACGACTATGATCCAGCTCCAATTAATGTTAGATCTATATCGAATATAGATCAGTCATATTAAGAAGACTTCCTTGTTTTTTTTTCTTTTCCTTTTTTTTTTTTTTTGGTTTTTCTTCTCTCTCTGAGGGAGTTGGAATTTTTTTGATCGCGTCGACGTACTACAGCCATTTTGAAAAATTCGCGGCTTCGTTCGTTCGTTTGTTTATTTGTTTATTTATTTGTTAATTTATTCATCTGTCAGTCTGTCTGTTTCGCTCCTTTCTTTTTTTACTTTTCACTTTTGACATTTGTACATTAAAAAAAAAAAAAAAAAAAAAAAAAAAAAAAAAAAAAAAAAAAAAAAAAAAAAAAAAAAAAAAAAAAAAAAAGAAATGAATAAAAGGCCGTAGAATTTTTCAAATTGCCCTAGTATTCACATAGGTATATAATATTTTTGCTTCCTCGAAGTATATTTTTTATTTTATTTTATTTTATTTTTTTTTACTTTTATTTATTTATTTATTTATTTATTTATTTATTATTATTATTTTTTTTTTGTATATCCTACGAAGCTATCAGCGAGATTTTTTGTTTTCCATTCGACATCGACGTCCTTTTCGTTTAAGGCGTTTCTTTTTTTCTTTCTTTCTTTCTTTCTTTCTTACGTTGGAAGAATGAACGATAAGAGAGATACGAGATCATCCGTTTGGAAAACGAAGAAAAAAAAAAAAAAAAAAAAAAAAAGAAAAACAAGAAATTTTACGTGCCCCATTAATCGAATAACGTGCCTGATTATGATAAACTCTTTGTTTGAATAGAGCAATCACAACAATGGCAGCACACGTTTTTTCTTTGCTAGTTTTTTTTTCTTCCTTTTTTAATTGTTTGTTCCTTCTCTTTCTTTCCTTCCTTCCTTCCTTCCTTCCTTCCTTCCTTCGAGACAACCTTTCTTGATAATCGCATATATACGTTCTTTCATTTTTCCTTGTATCATTTCGCTTTAGTTATTTCTCCTCGATGAGTTACGTTCGGGACGATGTTTCTACTTCGGAGAATTGATCTGGCGTGTAATACCTCAGGCCATTTATCTGTAAATAAATAACAAATTATAAATTATAAATGTCATTGAATGATTTATTAAAATATCGATTTGATATCATTATAAATGTTCGAATTTATTTATACATACTAATATCATTATATTATAATTTATTTCACGTACGAATTATTACTTGACAAACCAATAATGATTGATATTGCACGTTGAAAAAATTTGCGATATTTTTTATTCCTCGTTGTTTCTCAACGCAATATCTTATTAAAACGTTATAATAATAATAATAATAATAATAATAATAATAATAATAATAATAATAATAAAATAAAAAATAAAAAATTAGGAAATATTTCGTTCAATTTTACTACTACGAAGAAAATGATTGGTAACAATTTTCAAGAAAATAATTAATAATTTTTGGATCGATGATAATTAATGTCGTTTAAATAATGATTATACATTATTGATATCATCGAAGATAAAAAAAATATCGGTTTCAATCTTTCTTCTTCTTCTTCTTTTCTTTTATTTTCTTTTTTTTTTTCTCTTTTTTTACCGTCATATCATATTCCGTAATGTAAGCTGGAATTTCTAATTGATCAGGTGCCATAACTTCGTAGAGATATTCAACACCAGGTAAATTATGAACTTTCTGTTTGATCGCTGGTGCCATAAACGTCGTGAACCACCACGTCATCATCTACAAAATAACAAAATAACAAAATAACAAAAAAAAAGAAAAAAAAACAATAAAAAGAGAGTTAAAAATAAATTATTAACATTTTATTTTTAATATTTTGTTTCTACTACGAACAAGATGAATTACTCACTTTAGTCCAGAAAGTAGGATGAATGATATAAAATTGCTTAAGATTTTTTTTATACCTAAAACAAACAAACAAACATATATATACATATATGTATATATACATATTAGAAACAATATATATCACTAATAATATTTCTATTATTAATACATGGTCGATCATTGTTGTTACGGTTATGCACGATGCACAATTCACTTGTATACATCTTATGCGATTGTCAATGTACATATATATATATATATATATATATATATATATACAAAATCGTGTAAGTCAATGTCATTCAATAATATACTTTTGTAATTGACTTTGATATTAACAATTTTAAGAAAAATTTGACATTAAGATTAATATTTCTTGACAATGATTTCTATTCGATCAACCGATCAACAATGTTCGTTAAATGGATAATAGAAAAATAAATAAAGAGAAAAAAAATAAGAAGAAAGAAAAAAGGAAAGTAGACATTCTTTTTTTTTTTTGTAATCTTACTTGTAAGGAAGCACATTGTAGACTTCACGTAGCCATTGTAAGCTAGGATAATTGCTGCTTGTGGTCAACGTGTGAAAGTATGCGATCACATAATCACCTTTCACGATTGGATCCAATAATTGAATGACATATAGTAAAGCCTGTAAAGAAAGAAAGATGGTAAGAAAAAATGAATTAAAATAAGAAAAATATTTATTCAAGATAAAATTAAAGAATGATTAATTTAATGGAGCTTTTAAAACATAATTGCGTGCACGTTCAAGAGAAAAATTAATTTAATGCATAAACACATCTGATAAATGTAATACAATCTATTGATCTATAGTATAGATCAATAGATCAAAGTGCTAAATGTAAGAGAAAATTATTTTTATAATGTCCCGTTATTAGATATTAAAGAATAAAAATTAAAAATTAAAAATTAAAAATAAAAAAACTAAAAAAATAAACAGAAAAAGAAAAAGTAAAAGAATGAACGATTTTTCCAAAAATCATTCATCTGTCCTTTAAATGAATTTAATCTGTCAAATTTTAGATTGAGATATTATAAAATATTTTAATTCTTGTCGATTACTATTATGAATTTATATCAATTGATTAATTCTTATTATTAATGCAATAACGTAATTAAACATTCAAAGGACGTGTTGTTTTTTCTATTTCTTTTATTTATTTATTTATTGATTTATTGATTTATTCTTTTATATTATTCATCTAATCTTAATCGTACTGACGATTGTATTGTCGCACAAAAAAAAAAAAAAAAGAAAAAGAAAAATAAAATAAATAAAAAGAAATATTGAAAGTGCCCTTTGCTATAAGGCAGCAACCTCATTCAGAGCAATGGATTCTTTTTAATAAATAAATAAATAAATAAATAAATAAATAAATAAATAAGATTTGTCGATTTTTGATCTATCATCTTCGGCATTTCTTTTGAAGATACGTCATAGACTTAACGTTACAGATATTAGAAAAAAAAAGAAAATAAAATAAAATAAAATAAAATAAAAATAAAAAAAAAAAAAAAAAGAAAAGTAAACGAAACGAGAAAAATCAAAGAGAAGGAAATAAATAAATAAGGTGCTAAAATAAAAATGATTGAATGAATGAATAAATGAATGAAAAAGAAAACGAGGAAGAGGAAAAGAGGAAAAAAAAAAAGAGGAAAGAAGTGTAGTTCAGTGGACAGATACGCTTGAAATAAGGAGGCCGCTCGATTCAGGAGGTTTTTTTTTTTTTTTCTTTTTTCCTCTAGACGTTCTATTTCTGGGTATATACATATTGATTTGCTACAGTGACGCGCAGTAACTACCAAGAGAAAAGAGGGCTGCGACTAAGCAAACTTTTCTAAGGCGTGGTAAGCAACACAACGACTGAGAAATCTCTAAACGAGATAATACAATTCGAACTCTTAATTGATCTCACGGTATTATTGAAGTTCATATATGAAAGAAAAAAAAAAAAAAAAAAAAAAAAAAGAATTTGAATGAATTATTGAAAGAACAAAAATAATAATTATTTAATTATATATATATATATATATATATATATATATATATATATTATAATAATTATTAGTATAGTTGTCATGTTATATTAATTATATAGTTACACTAGTATATAATAATATAACAAGTACTCATTTAAGTATATATAAATATTATACATATATAATATTAAAATAACTAAAGTATCCCAGAAATATTTAGTCTTAGAAAAAAAAAAAATATATATATATATATATATATATAAAGAAGTAAATAAATAAATAATTATGAATCAAAGAATCAATTCGAACGTGATATATATAATACTTTAATTATTTTTATATTAATATTTACAAAATACATTATATCTTTTGTCTACAAATTTCAAAAGAAGAAAGAAAAAGAAAAATGGAAATAAATAAATAAAAATTATGAATCAAAAAATCGATTTAAATGTGATAAAATGGTAAAAAGAGAGAGAGAAACAAAAATGAAGTTTTATCATTACCTTGTCCAAGTTAATCTTTGTAGCTGGGAACCATTTGCCAACGAACACTACTACTGGCCTTCCTTGACGATCTACACCACTTTGATAAAGGCAACCAATTCCGGAAACCTCAGTAAGATCTTCCGTTTTTGCTCTTCTCAAAAGTCTCTCGTACCTGTATGAAAAGAGGAAGAAAAAAAAAGAAAAAGTAAATAAATAATTAAAGATAGATAAATACAATAAATAAATGAGAAGTATTACTAATCTTAAGCTGTTATTATTCTCTTTTTTCTCTTTCTTTCTTTCTTTCTTTCTTTCTTTTTTTATGCGTACTATTATAACGACAATCTTGTCGAAAATTCATCACTTCGGGTCTGTCGAGTAAAACTTACTTTTTCATTATTCATTTATTTAGAAAAAAAACAAGAAAAATGAAACTATATCGTTAGGTCAAACGAAACAAGGTCATTTTATAATTCTTAAAAAGGAACAATAAAAAAAAAAAAACTCCCCCCCACTGTCGGCAGATTCATTTTATTTTTGTTCAAAATTTTGATATTGGAATTATTAAAATTGCGAAAGAAAAAAAATAAACAAAGAGGACAAAAAAGGAAAACAAAAAAAAAAAATGATCATTTCTAAATTTTTCATTTTGTAAATTATCAACGTCAATATACAACTATTATCGTTGTAAAAACAAGTAATGATCTCTCATTAAATTACCAGACAAGGATGACAATTATATATCTTTATTTTAATTATCATTAAACCTACTTTAAAACTTACGCGCTTAAATGTATCGAAAAAAAAAAGAAAAATAAATAAATCTGATGAAAATTATTATCCCTAAATGATCGTCGTAAAATATAAACAAATAAAAAATATAATCAATCGTACGAACGAAAGGATTTTTTATTTTTTTTCAAAAATGAGTTTAACAACAGTTCTCTTTGTTAAAATGTTACATACTTTTGTTAGAAAAAGAAACAAAAAACAAAAAACAAAAAAGAAGAAAATTTTATTCAAATTAATGGAAAATATTATGGCAGAGAATAATTAATCTTACGAGGTACGAATTTTCTCTGAAATGATTACAAAATATTATCAAAGTCTTTGACGTAACAATGAAAGCCGTAAATATTTCGTATTCGTGACAGGATTATTGTGTATCACGTAAGTCGTTGCATACTTTTCAAAAAAAGAAACGACAAAAAGATAAAGTTCTAGCGAATCATTGTATTAGCTGCAATCATTTTAATAAATGTCAAATTGAAAACATTCAAACGTATATTCAATCTGTAAAATAATATCGAATGTAATAAATTAATTCAATTTGTTTATATTTATTGTTATGTACATATGAAAATAAAACACAATAAAATAAAATAATATCTATAGCAATTTAAATTTTTATATACAGGATGGAGGAGTAAATTTTTTCGATTTTTCGAAAAAATTCCAAAAGAATCAAACTTGATTTTTTTCCATTCTTCTTTTTTTTTTTTATTTTTTTCGTTAATCATAAAATTTCTTCTTGATCGTAAAATTTTCTGTAAAAACAAAAATACACAACGAAATAATATTCTTCCTTTTCTTTTTTTCCTTTAGGAAATAATTAAACGTATTCGTAAAATAGAAAATATTTCTTGATAAATCATATTTTCTAAAATTTTTGAACCTTTAGATAATTATTACAAAATTATTAAAAACGATGAGGAAAGAATGGAAAAGATTTTTTTTTAATTTATTTAACTTCAAAAATTAAAATTTATTTCATGATAGAGCAAAACGATATTCAATGTGAGATGTGTTTGAGTATAAAAAAAAAAAAAAAAAAAAAAATTGATTTTGCAAGGCGAATCTTTAACTATGATCCCAGTTGATTCAACGCTGTAATTATTCCAATTACTAATTATGTACAAGTTAGATCAAGTTATGAGAATTGTACGAATAATGTTCCTTTTTTTTTTCTTTTCGTCTTAATTTTTTTCTTTTCTTTTTTTCATTTTCTTTACGCGATAAAGTCCATCGAAAAGAAGAATACTTCGAAAAAAGAAAAAAAAAAAAAAAGAAAAAAAGAAAGAAAAAAAAACACAAGCAAAAAATAACGGAAGTAGAGTATCATTGTGTGTACTTTAATTACTGAAACAATTAATGTTCCACTACACGTGATACATTTGATTTTCATTTCCTGATCCACACCTATATATATATATATATATATATATATATATATATATATATATATATATATACATATATTTATTTATTTAGTTTTTGTAGTTTCTAAAAAAAATTATTTAATATAGATGCAATGATAAACTAGATACCAAATATATATATATATATATATATATATATATATATATATATATATATACATATATATTAAGTAATAGTTAGTTTAAAATTCTAAAATCTATAGAAAGCATGGATATATCCTGTTCTGATAAATATTTAATACAATCTATATACTTTTGCTCTACTTGAACCATTTACCTTGTTTTATATACATACAAAAAAAAAATATATATATATATAAAGCATAGGTATCTATGTTCCTTTACATGAAATGTAAGACGCATCAAGTAGGTCGTAGAGAAGAGAAGTATGTACAATGCCATAATTGCATATAAAGCAAACGTATTATTGTTTAACATGGTATTAACTTACACATACGAAACTTATCGAATCGTTCTGACGAATATTTACATTTTCATTCAAGGTAATTTCGTTTTCTTCCTTCGTTTTTTTTTTATTTTTATTTTTTTTTTTTTTTTTTTTGATAATCTTCAGTGCGACAACGTTTTTCATATTAACGCGTATTTAATGTTGATCAAGGTGAAATATAATAGCAATGCTTTATCATTTAAAGATTTATTTAACAGTATGTTTATCTTGTATGTTAATATTGAAATATTATATATAATTGAAATTGTCAGATATTTCATTGATACCAATAAGTAATGACGAAATAATTATATTTAAATCAATAAATAAATAAATCAACAATGTTACTTTCTTTCCTACTTATTTTTCTTTTTCTTTTTTCTTATTAGAAAATTTCAACATAAAAAAAACTTACTCATCATTATATATTATATTATATTATATTATATTATATTATATTATATTATATTAATTATTTGATTGAACTTTTATACATACCGATAACATATACTATACTTTACAATTTATTGTTATATTATTCCGCATTATATTATTCGTTTAGATATAAAATATTAAATGTTTCATAAATATTTTATAAATCAAATCTAATATTGTCGTTTAATATGAACATTAGAATATCGATTATTATTCTAAATTTGCAAATTATATTCTATCGTTTATTTAGATGAGAAAAAAAACGGAGAACGAAAAAAAAAAAAGAAAAAAAGAAAAAAAAAAAACCAGAATCAAAAATGTCTACACAATTTCTTTTTTGATCAATATCCAATATTATTATCGAATCAGAATACGCAAATTCATTTCTCATTATAAATTCCGATCTCTTATGAAGAATTCAAAATTTCTAAATTTGTAAATCAAATCGATTCGAGTTCACGAATAATTCGATTGATTCGACAAATCTAAAATTAGACGCAGTGTACGTAAACGAGAAATACACAGGGGATATGCGCATGTGTTACGTATTTACGTATCTACATACGTATGTGACGTATACGAACTACCACGAATTTCAATTACACCACATTAGTCATTATAGTCTCTCTCTCTCTCTCTCTCTCTCACTCATTCTTATTTTGAATTATCATTCTCTCTATATTATATACAATTTCTGAAAATTATGATTATTAATATTAAATAATAGAAGCGAAATATATGACCCATTCAAAAATAAACATTATTTGCTAATCATTCGTTCGAATCGAAACGAAAAAAAAAAAAAAAGAAAAAAATAAGAAGGGAGAAAAAAATAATAAAAAGAAAAAAAAAAGAAAAAAAAATTAGAAAGAAAAAGAAAACAAAAAGAAAGAAAGAAAGAAAGAAAGAAAATATCCTTCATATTAATTACACTTATCTTCTGTAATTATATCATCATATTACTTTTCCATATCAATTGTACGTATATCATTTACTTTCTTCCATATACGTCTATATAATGCGACAGAACGCAACTACCAATCGCAAACGTGGTTGATAACGCAGAGAATATCGATTACACCCCCCGTTGCAGAAGTCAAATAATATCTTATCAAATCTTCTAGTCGGATATTATAAAGAATAAGAGAAATTGAACGGAAACGAAAGAAATAAAATACGAAACGAAACAAAACAAGGCAAAACAAACAAACAAACAAATATTCACAATAAAAATGATAATACACATATATATATATATATATATATATATATATATATATATATGTATGTATGTATGTATATAAATATAAGGACGAATAATTTCAAAGGATATTTTTGAAAAATTGTTAAGACAAAAAAAAACAATAAATAAATAAATAAATAAATAAAAAAAGAAAAATAAAACGAAGAAGAAATTCCAGCGCAGAGATATAAACACATTCGGAGAATATAATTTCACAAATAATTCGCGTAAACAGCTAAGAAATAATAATAATAATTATAATAATAATAATAATAATAATAATAATAATAATAATAATAATAATAATAATAATAATAATAATAATAATAATAATAATAATAATAATAATAGAAGAAATACGAGGAAAACCAAATATTTAAAAGATATGTATATATAAACGAATACAAAAACACGTGCGATTATATCGACACCTAATGTCCGCATTGTGTTTGTGTCCTTGATCCGTGACTCAAAAATTATAAAAGAAAAAAAAAAGAAGAAAAGAAAATGGAGAGAGAGAGAGAGAGAGAGAGAGAGAGAGAAAGTGAGTTTTGTCATTAAAATATCACAGTAACATTCACATAATACGCACCGGTCTTCGTCCTCGATCACATCCACCATGTCAATCATGACCATTTTTTGGTAATACAAAAATCGTTTCTTTTAAAATCTCCCTCTTGCACCACAGTCTCAATAATATATATATATATATATATAAATATATATATATATATATCTTCTTACACAATGTCTCTTGTAATATTTTTCTTCGTCGATAATTATATCAAATTTAAAAATGCCTACACACACATAGATACAAACACATATATATAATATATATATATATATATCACCACATATGTATATATATATATATATATATATATTATAATATAAAATATCGTGTAATATTATATATATAAAAATGTCGTAAAAAATATAAAAATTTTCTAATCTTTTCAATACAAATATATATATATATATATATATATATATAAAATAAAAAAAAAAGTGAATAACGAAATAAAAACTCAAGTATTATTTGTTCGATTAATAATAAACACTAATAATTAATAATAATATATAAATCGACGAACGAAGAGAAACACAGATAAATACATAGGTAGGGATAAAAAGAGAGAAAGACAGAGATATAAAGAGAAAGAGTGACAGAGAGAGAGAGAGAGATAGAGAAAGAGAGAGAGAGAGAGAGAAAGAGAAAGTAACGCGGCAATTCCGCGCGACGGTTCGTAACGAACTGAATCGGTTTCGTTGAAAGACGCCGTTGAAATTCACTCCCGTGTGACCGCGACGATCAGAACTACGAGAACGACAACGACAACGACGAACGACGTCGTATCATTTCGTTTCGTTTCGTTTCCTTTCGTTTCCTTTCGTTTCATTTCGTTTCCTTTCGTTTAGTTTCGTTCGTTACTTTGGTGGGCACGCGCTTTTGTCAATAAGCGTCACGGCGCCTGCTCGAGACGTCGTTAACTACATACGTATTTATGTACGTACATACGTGTATATATATATGTTTCTAACGTATGAATGTGTATATAACGATATATATATATATATATATGTATGTATGTATGTATGTATGTATGTATGTATGTATGTATGTATGTATGTATGTATGTACACACATATATATATATGACGTGACGAAAGATAACTTGCATGATTCAATATTTGTTTCTGCGGTTTTCTCTCTCTCTCTCTCTCTCTCTCTTTTTTTTTTCTTACTTTAAGTAGTGGAGAATAAAGGAATGGGTGATAGAGGTCAGAAGACTAGTCGGTCGGTTTTTCGTTTATCTTTTTCTTTTTTTTTTCTAATTCTCTTTTTTTATAATCATTCTACTTTCGGAAGAAGTCCCACGTGTGAGTCAATAATCGATCATACTGTTTCTATTAATTTTTTATTATATCTCTTTCGAGTAATACTTTTTGTCTTCTTTCCTTTCCTTGTGTTTCTTTTTCTTTTACTTTTTTTTTTTTTTGTTTCTACGAAGAGCTCTTTTGTTTGTTAATGAGTAAGTTTAAAGTAGGTAAGTTTGAAATAAATATACACTTAAGCATTAACCCAAATTATTAAAAAGAGTAAAGAGCAAGGTGATTGATTGTTTTTTTTTCCTTTCCTTTTTTCAATGACGTTCATCTAAGTACTTTTTGAACCAGTTCTTAGGAACTTTTAATCGATCTAGGAATTTTTGACTCTAACTCCACACACCCTTCTTTCTATTTCTATCTAAACTAATTCTCCCCTTTATTTACTTTTATTTCTTGTAGTAATATTTCATACAACGAGTTTGTTCTAATTCTTTATCAAACTTTCTTCACAGTTCTTATATATATATATATATATATACATATAACTATATATATATATATGTGTGTGTGTGCGTGTATATATATATGGCTATGTAAATATATGTAAGTTACATTAAGATCAAGACTGAGAATTTTAGGTCAAGGAATTGTTTTCATAAAAACCGGTTTTTAACAAGAATAAAAAATAAAAAATAAATAAAAGAAAAAAGAATAAGAAAGAAAGAAAGAAAGAAAGAAGTCGAGGATAAATAGTCCTATTATGATTTACCTTGAAAATTTTAATATTTATAACAAAAAAAAATATATATTAAATTCAATAAAAATTCATAATAGTTCGTATTCATATATATATATATATATATATATATATATATATATATTTCTTTTTTTTTTCTTTAAATAACACGTGATATACCTAATTATATTATTTATATTTTTGTATATCCCCCTTCCCCAATCCCTTCTTCTAGCCTCAAAAAAAAAGAAAAAAAGAAAGAAAGAAAAACAAGAGAGATATTTTCAAGAAGAATTTTTAAATAAAACATATATAGAAGAAAGAAATAAAAAGAGAAAAAAAAAAGAATAAAAATAAAAATAAAATCAAAATTCAAATATCCATAGAAATTTGATTTTAATGAAAAATCATTTATGTTAAAGTAGAACGATTTAGGAATAATCCATAGAGATGAGATACTATTATTGACTAGTTGCTTATACGTTCGAGGTCAGAGGGAGTGACCTAACATGAGTTTCAACCTATCATCCTATAGGAACAACTCGAGATGTCCTATTTCTTTTTCCCTCTCTCTCTCTCTCTCTTTCTCTTTTTCTCTTTCCATCAATAAAATTCTATCATTATTTATCATGAAGTGACTAATAATATTCGCAAAAAAAGAAAAAGAAAAAAAACAAAAAGACGTAACATACACATAATTGTACATACTCATATCTTCATAGATAAGCAAGGAAAAAGCAAAGGCAAAAAGAAGGAAAAAAAAAAAAAAAAAAGAAATTAAATTTTCAATAAGAATTGTTAAACAAATAAATGAATGAGTAAATAAATAAATAAATAAAAAAAAAAAAAAATAAAAGAAAATAAAAAAAATTTATAAAAATAAAAATAAAACCGATAGTCAAATAATAATCATATTTGTTCACGATGAAAATACATTAATATTAAAGTAGAACGATTTACGAATAATCCATAGAGATGAGAGACTATTATTGACTGCTTATACGTTTGAGGTCAGTGGGAGTGACCTAACATGACTTGCCACCTATCCTTTGGGAACAATTCAAAGTGTCCTATTTATCTCTCTCTCTCCTCCTCCCTCCCTCATTCTCTCTCTCTCTCTCTCTCTCTCTCTCTCTCTCTCTTCTATTTATCCTATTCTTTGAAATGAAATAACCACTCTTATCTTATATCGAGATCGAGGACGTATATGATACAGGAAATGCAAACGTAAGAATACACTTATGCAGCTTGTTTGTATTAAAATTGCTTGCCAAATGTAAACACACTTGAACGTTTTCTTAGTAATCGATGACTCATTGAGAATAATTTAGCTATGAAGATATTAATGTATTAAGAGAATGTGTTAATGGAAACGTAAAAATCAAGATTAGTTATAAGCTTCGTTCTATTAAAACGTTAGATAATATAATATGAACGTTATCGTTTTGTTCACGTTTTTTTTCCCTATCTATGATTAATGATTAATATGATTAGTATTTTTGATACGTCGTTAATCCTCTATAATCCAAGTTATTGTTTGTTTGTTTACAAAAACAAAAATTATATTATTTATATATGTATATATATATATATATATATATATCTATTAATTATATATATTTATTTATATACCATACTTAATATAGATTGTTAATTAATAATTAATTATAATTTGCCATAATGTATTTAATATAGTGTATTATAATTAAACATATAATTTACTCAGTATAATATACTATACTTTGTTTAATTCACAAACATATATATATATATATATATATGTATATATAGTAACAAAATAATTGTTATATTAATAATAGTAATAGATATAATATATTAGTAATAGATAATAGTAATAGATAATATAATATAATAGTAATAGATATAATATATTCAGTATAGTATATTTATTATAATAAAGCTGTAGCATAATATAATTAATATTTATAATTATATTCAAAAGAATAATTTCTTTTTTTTTTTGTTTTATTTTTTATTTTATTTATACTGTACTAATTATAACTTAAATTAACAAAAAGAAAAAGAAAGAAGAAAAAAAGAAAAAACAATCTTATGACAATAAAATGAAATAAAAAGAGAATTTAAAAATTACGTACGTTGCATTATAGAGGATTACATTTCGAATACATTTAGCAATATTATTTTTGCACATAATGGCAATTACGTCGTTAGATAAGATAATGATGTTACTATTCTTGGGCGTGTACTATTTCGTTTACGTGACTTTTGAGTCATATCAGTTGTTAGTAAGAAGAATTAAATTTAAGAACGTCGTCATCACCGATCAACAAACATCATTTTCTTAGGTGTAGAACAAATCTCGGTAATACGTTCCATAATTCATTTTTTACAATACTTCTGTTTGATTTTCGAGATAAATCTATTTAAGATCTTTTTTTTAAATCAATTATGTTACTATCGTTACAATCATATTTATATATATATATATATATATATATATATATATATATATATATATATATATATATATACACGCGTATATAGAGTGGGCCAAAAGTTCTTAAATGATATTAAATACCATTTTTTTTTTTTTTTTTTCATATAGCAAAGTTAATAAATAAACTTAGTGAAATTACAAATCTAAATGAAAGTCCAAAAAGTTCAATAAAAAAAGAAAAAGAAAATTAGAGAGAGAAAGGAATTGATTTTTAATATTTAGTTTAAAAACTTTTCATCATATAATTAAGAATTTTTGACGAACTTCTTATACGAACGATGATTACAACGGTATAATAATTTTTCTTATAAATATTATATCCATTTAATTAGAATGACTAATTACTAACCTTTCCTTTTGTTGCATTTGTTTTATCATGATATCAGCAAGTGGATCGGTAATTGATCTCTCTCCAAGAAGCCTTTGCCTATCCAAATCACCTTGCATTTGTGCAAATGCATGTTCACCGATATTAACAGATGTCTCCAATTGCGCAGAAAGTTCTACGGTTTCTTCGTCGTCTGAAAATAATACGCATGGTTTATTTTCTTTTTTTCTTTCTTTTCTTTTTTCCTTTTTCATTTTTTTTTCTTTTCTATATATATATATATATATATATATATATATATATATATATATATATATCTCGATTATAATGATTCTTACAGATAATAATAAGCGTGTGTCATTAGCGATATTAATTGTTTTCACCATTTGTCATTTCTACTCTAATAATTGGTTATAATTAACAGTGAATGAATTTTTTTTTCCCCCCTTTTTAATCATAAAACACAATGTGCGTGACGATCGAGATATCAACGAATTACAACAAATGACATAACTTTACGTATAATGTGACAGGTAATCAATGTGTGTATCACGATCATCTCATATAGAACATATAGTTATTAGATGGATGGAAATATTTTGTAAAAAAAGAAAAAGAAGAAGAAAAAAAAAAGAAAAGAAAAGAAATAATTAACCCTTTTGTTTGTATCTGTGAGAGGTTCTCAAGGACACCCTAGATAAACCTTAAGCTCAAACAATTTGCTCGTCGCACGATTCATGAATTCTTTATTTCCTTCTTTTATTTTTTTCTCATAATGTCATTGAAATTGCATTTCTAAATCTATCGATTATTATTATTACTATTATTATTATTATTATTATTATTATTATTATTATTATTATTATTATTATTTCCAAGATTTCAAAGAATATATAGTATTTTTTTCAAAATCAAAATCATTCGTTATAGTAT